TCCCGACTTCCATCTTTATCAGTTAGAGGCTTCATAGATAGTCAGTATAGTTGAAAGGTCTGTATTATTCATTTATTTTGTTAAATGTTTTAAAGACTAAAGTTGTCTTTTTATGGCGAGTTGTATATATTTTATTATACATAGTTTTCTTTGGACTTAAAGTTTGAATTTAAGTTTTATGAACTTTTATTTCAGTTTTTAAGCTTTGTATGCTTGAATCAGTTTTCCGCTTGTAGTCAGCCAGGATGAGGGTTCGCTTGGGGACCAGCAATGGTCTTCGAGTGCCGGCCACGTCCAGGGTGTAGGCTCGGGTCGTGACATGATATATGTTGCTCGAATACTTTTCAAATACAGTTTTGTGTGTTCAATCCTCCAAAAAGCTACGAACTTCAGACACAAGTACGATAATATGTTTGGACTTTAAAAATGGGTTAGTGAGATGATAGGCTAGCTATATATGTTGCTCGAACACTTTTAAGATACAATTTTATGTGTTCAATCCTCCAAAAGCTACGAACTTTTGGACACAAGTACGACAACATGTTTGAAGCGTCCGAACAATATATATATATATATATATGTATACTAAATCAAAACTATTAAAATAATTTACCTTTCAAGAAACATGGCTATAGGTGTTAAGAAGACAGCAGCAGCAGCTTGTCTATAGAATACAAACACAAAAGGGTTCATTCCAACATCAAAGGCAACTTTTGAAAGCAAGAACATCCCAGTATATATGGCTTTTATTATTACAATTGCTACATATATTTTCCCCTTTCCATCCATTTTCTCTCTCTTTTTAATTATGTGATGTTTTTTTCTTTGTTGGGAGGAAAAAAAAAGGTGTAAACTTTGGTTGTCTACTCTTAATCAACTCAAAAACTACAAAAGATTGGGACTAAGAAGTGGGATTTATATAGAAGAATTTGGAAAACACAAACTACAATATAATATGACTATTGATAGTGATGTATAAGTTGCTTTTCAATTGGACCACAAGGGACCAACAATAATAAAAAGTTTCTAAAGTAGAACTATTTAGGGATGCTTCCTTTTTTATTTTTTATTTTATGAAAAGAAATACTATAGGTTTTTAATTAGATAATGGACCCTTATCTAATTACTATAGTACTTAATTAGCAAACATTAAACAACTTTCTAGACTAGGATTTTTAAGGATCATTGATGGATCTAGCAATAGTTTTATATATAATCTTGGCAAAGATTAAAAAAAAATGAGTGAAAGATCCTTTTAATAATTATAATTTGTCCCCCCTCTCCTTTGTTCCTTAAGCTACTAAATTTCCACACAAAAATGTTTGAATAATTATTTTCACATATATATTGATTGAATTAGTAAGAAAAGCAAAAAATAATGGTGATTTTATGTGGAAAAATTAGGAAGTTTTCATAAATTTAAAGAGAATTTGTTTTCTACCGGTGTATTTTTTAGTGAGTAAGTTCGATGGGGATTGAGTGGAAAAATCATGTGTTATAAAACCCCTTCACGTCCAAACCTAACTAGAGCATGGATCGAGAGCCCAAACTGGGAATGTACCTAGCCCTAATACTATGAAAAAATAGGTACATAAACCTAACTCAACCCCTAAAGTTAGTTTATGAAGGAGAATCGTTCAAGTTCGTATAAGCATACCATCAATTCATTCTCCAGTCAATGTAAAACTAACCCATTCTAACACCCCTTCATGTTCGGGCCCAACTAGAGTGTGGATTCGGAGCCGAAATTTGGAATGAACCTTAATTTGATATCATGAAAAAATATGACACCTGAACCTAACTCAACATTTAAAGTTAGCTTATGAATTTTTTTTTGTCTAAGTCTATATAAGCAAACCACTGATCTATTTTCGAGCTAATATGGAACGCTAACCAACTTTGATAGAACAAACATTTATAGAACACACTTTGATAAAACAAACTTTTATAGAACAAACTTTGATAAAACAAAAAGTAAACAGAGAGATGAAGAAGCAATTCTTTGCCGCTTCAAAAGAATTGAAAAGATTAGGGTAAAAATAATGTCCAATAATGATACAACAAGAAGAAATTTCAAAAATAGCTAACATTGCAAATATAAATATATAATCACGCCCCCTAGGTAATTATTTTCTTAATTACAATTTGTAGTTACATGTTAGAAGGAGGAGAGAGCTGGCGAGTGAAATGGGGAGAGAGGCGAGCGCGAGATCTGGCCAGAGAAAAAGAAGAGAAGAGAAGCGAGAGAGATACAATTGATTTGTATATTTGATCGATAATTGTATATATCACAATTATAATTAATTTGTATTAAAAAACTAACTACTAGCAAGAGGTGAGAGATGGGCGAGATTGGGAGAGGGAGGAGAGAGGTGAATGAAATTTGGGAGAGAGAGGAGAGAGGAGAGAGGAGAGAGAAGAAAGATACAATTAATTTGTATATCTCATCAATAATTGTATAAATGACTGACAATTGTATCACGAATACAATTGATATAGTTGATTTGAATCAATGAATACAATAGTATCAAACACTATTTTATTCAATTCGATGATGCAAATCAACTGTATTAAATATATTAATGAATATAATTTATATCAACGATTATAATTGTATCATCAAATACAATTATATCATTATTGTAATATTCATAACAAATTATATTTGTATTCATTTATTACCGTATCTTTCAGTGCTCTTGCATGCATAGGTGTAACATGACATGAAGTATCGAACAATATTCTATTCATAATCTCATAAATCTTTGAATGCTTTTTATAATTTTTCACTATTTCACATAATAAAAAATAACTAATAATGTATTTATTTATAATAGCACAAAATCTACTTTAGCTCAAAAATAGATTTAAAAAATATATATAATTCTGACTATAAATTCTATCTAAACAAGAATTAAAATACTAAAACTTAAATAAATTTAATTTTCTAAAACTTTAAATTATTTTACCCAACAAGATTACCATTCACTCGATTACACTTGTTTTTTTATATTATTACTTTACTTCTACATGAACTATTCTAATTTAAAGATGCTCCCTTTTGGTAAATTGGATTCCAACGCAAAAATATTTTAATAGTAAAAATTTAAGCAGTAACTACTTTATCAAATATATTATTGTAAATTAATTACACACAATCTGAATAAAGTAAAGATCATCAAAATGCTTGATTCCCCTTTTATTTTGTGCTTACCTCCTTTCAACAAGCAATTGCACAAATAATTGGTTCCTTTTGATTATTTATTGTTATATAAAAATTAAAACGATAAGAGAGGTCAATCAAGCATATATTTCTCTTCATGAGCTTTCATTTCAATAAAATTCTGTTAGGGGAATTTCCTTTTTTGGTTTTAATCTACATTAGGTAAAATTAATTTTGTGTCCACATTGGGAATAAGTACTAGAGATAGTTATTTACCAAAAAGTTAATTTAATTTATGTAATATATATTTCTAGTATGTTTTGTTGACACTAATCTTCGACTAAGTAAAAGTTGTTTGAGTTATACGATGTTGTTGAGATGTTGGACATGTGAATAACTGAATATTATGTCGCAGTAGGCTTGAATCTCCTTACAGAGAGCTAGATATTCACGTCTCAGAAAAAATATTTATTTATTCATTTTATACTGTAATTTATAGTATATATCCTTAATTAATCTTTTTTCTGTGTGATTCTCTAAATTAGAGGTTTTCGTAATTATAAGTCCAAAAAATTTACATACAAATGTAACCTAATTAATTGAGGGCTAAACTATAGTTATTCTATTTTTATTTTTCACAATAATGTATGTCATAAAATACATTTATATTTTATTTAATATAAGGAGATGAATTTGGCCTAAAAGTTGCATTTCAATTTGAGACAAAATTCGATTAAATTCTTATGGAATATTTTGTGTGCGTGTATTTTTCTCTCGTGAAATAAATCTTTGTAGCTTCTTGTGGTGAAAAATAAAAATAAGGATAGTAAATAAATTTAAAAGGTTCTTTTTTTTTTCTTCCGATGAACACCCCATTAACTCTCCACGATTGAATGATTCACTTTCAAGTTCTCACTCCATCCAACCATTAAAATATGGTACTTCCTCATCCACTTCTAAATACTTGTTACGATTTCTATTTTGAGAGGCGATACTGAACAATATAAATTTTGATCAATATTTTAAGATGTATTTTTTCATCATGGTATTGCATATATATAGTACTTGCCATAAAACTTTTTACTATCTAAATTTTAACTTTTAAAATATCAATTTAATTTAATTTAACTTTGACAATTTGTCAAGTTGACTCTGGAGAATCGAAATGTGACAATTACTTTGAAACGAACGAAGTATTTAATTAACATTCTTTTTATATTTGCTCAAAATTATACTATAACCACCCAACTATTTCATTTTCAGCGGTTTCCCGATACTAATGAGCATCACAGTAAGAATTCATGTTTCAATTAAATCTATTTTTTCTCGAATGCTCTATAGGAATCCACCGTCTATAAAGATAACTCTCAACAAAAAAATAGTATGCTAGAATATTAACTACTAAAGATCGATAGAAAGCTATTTCTTCTGAATTCTCTAATTATCGTTGGTTAGTCATAGATTCTTATATTATAAGACGAGAATTAATAATAAAAAGATTATTTTTATTCCTATTAGTTAATGGAAAATTATTGGTCATGTAGGTTTATAGATTAAGTTAATACAACAATATTCTGTAAATTATTTTTATTCCTATTTGTTAATGGAAAAATTATTGGTCAATGCAAGTTCATAGATTAAATTAATACAACAATATTCTTTTTAAGGAATATAAGCAGCTATATATAAATTGAAAGGCTAATCAATATTAATAAATGCATTTAGCAACATGATCAAAATGTTCGACCACCATTAGATGCAATCACATTAAAAGTTAATTATTAATTAAATATGAAAATTACTTTTTACTTACTAGATTCCTAGAAAATAAAAAATGTTTGACAAGGTTTTACTTTTACATGGAGCCAAATAAAAGATTGATTATAAGTCATAACTTTCTTTTAGGGAAAATAAATTAATATTAATTAAAGAGAAAAGGGTAAAAAAAATGTCTTTAGGCTATGTGAAATGAATAAAAATGTTCTCCATTTATGATTTGGTCCAAAAATGTCCTTGCCGTCAATATTTTGATCCAAAAATGCCTCTACTGTTATTTAATGGGTTAAAAATGCTCATTTTCCAAATAAAAAATAATTTTTAGCACATTCTTTTTCAAATAATATTTTTTAAAGTTAAGCAAATATTTATCCTATTTCAATTCAGGAAAAAAAAAACTTCTTATTTATTATAATTATTTTTAATCGTTATATAAATAAAAATTAATGATGGATTTACTATCTTATATATATGACATATATTATCCGTTGAAAGGGTAAATGCAATTATTCTATTTTAATTGATAAAATGATATTTTCTACATTTTTATATGCTAAAGTGACTTTAAAAGAAAGAAAATAACAATAGGGTTCTTTAATAATATTTTAATTCGGAAGAAGATGTGTTTAAAAAGAAAAGAAATAATTTATTTATTCGAAAAAGGGCATTTTTGACCCATTTGGTAACTATAGGGGCATTTCTAGACCAAAGTATTGATTGCAAGGGCATTTTTGAATCAAAATATTGACGGTAAAGACATTTTGAACTAAAATTTAAACGGATGACATTTTTGTTCATTTCACATAGTTTAAGGACATTTTAACCCTTTTTCCCTAGATTTAAAAAGGAAATTAAATAACATGTTTCAAAATTTGTTGATTTGGTTTAATTTCTTTTTAGCTTTTATGTTAGGGGCTAATGGATGTTCATTGTTTCCAAAGGAGATTTAGAAGAGAAGTTT